GAATTAACTATACATAGATAACACAGTAATATTGCTATATTAATCTCTAGCACAGTAATATTAACCAGTGTTCTAAAAATCGACCGATCGAGGCGGCCGATTAATCGGTCTCCGAGGCGGAGGCGATCCAAAACCTTTACGATTTTAGTGTAACGGTTTGAAAAATCGGGTTTTTGCCTGTGAGGCGGTTTGAGGCGGTCTGAGGCGCTTCGAGGCGGTCAAACCTTTAAGGCGGGTCAAACTTCAATGGCAAAAATCGGTCAAAAATCGTTTTTTTTTTCTATACTTCAAAATAAAAGTTGAGATTTTAATAAAAAAAAAATAAGTTTATACTTTGTTTATGTTAACTGTTATTTGTTAAAGAACTAATGATGTATGCCAGGAATGTTCAAGAATAAATGTAAATTCAAAACAATTGCCTTTTTATTTATATTTTGTAAGGATATTTATGTATTATGATATATCTTATTATTATTAAACTTTTATTATTTTATTAGGATATATACACGATGGAGATATAACTATATTTAAATACCTTTTTATATATGTTTTGAGTAATTATAAATAATATCTAGAAATATATTATATGAAATATTAAAAACCGATTTATTTCCGATTTATCACTGATTAATCACCGCCGCACCGATTAATTGTGAGTCGGTCCCTAACCGCCTCCGACCCGATTACCGATTTTTACAACCTTGATATTAACACAACAAAACTCATTATTATTGTGTAACAGAGTAATATTAATATGTTGACCGCTCAACAAAGGTAAACATAATAAAAAGCTAAAATAATTAACATTATTGTGAGTGACAGAAATATTACTATAACAAGAGTAATATTACCGTCAACAACAGTAATATTATTGTGTATACATTAATATTACAATAATAGACAATAATATTGTTACGTTACTCCGTGAATAACTCAAACAAAACAAAAAAAAACCCAAAAAAAATAATAATATTGATGTGGTTGACAATAATATTATCGTGTTTACAATTATTTTACTATCAGCGACAGTAATATAATTACGTAGACTTGTCAACAAATCAAACAAATTTAAAAAAAAAAATTAACCAACAAAAAAAAGTAATAATATTGTAATTGACTCTAATTGTACTGTCAACGGCAGTACAATTGTATAAATGTAATGTCAACGGCAGTACAATTACGTTAATATACTGCGACAGTATAATTACGTTAATTTACTGTGACAGTATAATTACGTTAATTTACTGTCAGTGACAGTATGATTACCGTTAATGACAGCACAATTACGGTCAACGTTTAGCGGCGGGCGTAAAAAAACACTAAAAAAAGTTAACGCCAGAATCCGGCGGCGGAAAAAAAAAAAAGTCAACGTCGGAATCCGGCGGCAGAAAAAAATGTTTTTGCAAAAAAAAAGTTTAAATTGGATTTTTGTGGTCAAAATTGATTAAATTTGGGTTACAATTAATAATTGGGTGTAAATGATTTGGGGTAATTTTGTAATATACATGATTTTTTCCTTTATTTATAATATATTAAAGGAATGGGCTTATTGGTGAAAGAGATATTGCCCCTAAACATAGAATAATAAAGATGGTTGGTTAGGGACTCATGCACAAAAACCCATATTTATTTCTCAATTGTATTTATGTTCGTACGCCGACCTGAAACATAAAATATAGATTTAGGAATGACAACGGGTCGGTTTTGGGCAGGGTTTGTCTAGACGCGAGATCCGACCCATAAAAATATATATAAAATCCTGACCCGCCCCAACCTAGTTCAGGTTAGACTCAAACCCGCACTAATTCATACTTGAATTAAACGGTTCTGACTCCCAAGACCCATTAACCCGTAGCCATTGACATCCCTATACAGATTCTTGTCCACTACGAAATTAAATATAGAGTAAAATAGCAGTTTGCCCCCCCCCCCCCCCCCCCCTCCCCTCCCCACCAAAAATAATACTTGTTTTGTACTTTGCCCCCAAATAATGTTTTTCACACGTGTTGATTTTAACTCGTTTTTTCGTTGCAAGTTGCCCAAAAAGTGGTATTTTATGGCGAAATCCTCTATAACTATACACACGCACCAATCAATTCACAAATTGGTATCATGAAACGAAAACTGCACACCCCAACCACCGCGAGCAAAAAAATCAGCAACACTGCAACCCCTCCTTGCTACGTCAACCCCCTTAATTTGTTACCTCTATTTTTTATGGGAAAAATAAGAGAGAACCCCCCATCTAGGAAATATAGTTAAGGAAACACCCCCTCTAAAAAATAATTAGAGAAAATTCTCTTAGCTAATATTCCACCCAAGTGATATTTTCATAATTCCAAAACTATTCTTAATTATCTATATACTATTTCAAAACCATAATATTATTTTTAATTTTTCATTCCGGTTTATCGTATTCAGCTTTTCTCTCTTGTCTGTTTTTTCTTCTTTTTTTTCTTTTTTTTCTCCGGCAATCTTCTCCCCGCCGCCGCAAGATGGAGAAAAAAGAAGAGGAAGCACTCGTCGTTGGCGTGTGGAGGAGAAGCACTCTTTTTTTTCAACAGCATGTTCTACCCCGTCGGCGTGTTGAGGAAAAAGAAGAGGAACATGCTGTTGAGAAAAGAAAAAGGAAGCAGTCGTTGTCGGAGGAGAATCAACGGAAATTGTTGATGAATGTATTTGTTTTTTTACTTTTTTTTAGTGCTCAGAAATTTTTCATGGAGTGACCAACAATGGTTGACAAATACCTTTGAATCATTCATGTTTTATTTTGTGGACATTGAAATGCTAATTTGTGTTTTTTGTATGAATTATTTATTTTATTTATTTTATTCTTGTTAGGGATTGATTGAATAGTGTGGTGCGGCGGTGTGGTGACGATGCGAATGCAGATTTAGGGTTTTTTGGTGGATCGGGCGGAAGACGGCGCGTGTAGAAAAAATTGCACAGATGGAATCTTAATCGACTATGTACATGTTCAATATTCGATTTATAAGCTAATCGACTATGCTCTGGTAGTCGATTAAGCTTGATCGACTCCATTTTTTTAATTTTTATTTTGGATTTTTTATTTATTGATTCCAATTGTATAAATCAATTATTATGTTTGTATATTTTTTTGTTTTTGTAAAATATAGTTGATTTTGCATTATTTGTGCAGTTCTGATTTTTTATTTTAGTAGCAGATTCTTAATCGACTATGTTTCATCATAGTCGATTAATATACTTGATATAGAAAAAAAAAATTAAGAATTTCCTTAATCGACTATGCTTCATAGTCTATTAAAACTGATACAAAAAAGAAAAAAAGCAAAAAAAGGAAAAAAAATCGGTGATGACCAGCGCGTGATGCAGTGATGATGTGGCGGGCGGGGACAAAACTGGAAAACATAATGGCTGAAAATTGGTGTGGATTTTTCTCATATGGAGCAAAATATTTTGGGCCTCTCCCTATTAAACGAAAGAAGGGGATAATTAGCAAGAACCCCTCATCTAGGAAAACGAGTTAAGGAAATACCCCCTCCAAAAAATAATTAAAGAAAACCCCCTTAGCTAATATCCTACCTAAATGCTATTTTAATAATTCCCAAACCACCCTTTTTAATATTAAATCTCATTTTCACGTTTCAAAACCCTTACTCATATTTCATTTGCCGTTCTTTCTTCTCCTTTTCTCATCTTCTCATCTTCTGTCTTCTGTCTTCTCTTCTCGACTGAAATTCGGAGGAAAAGCAAGACGTCGACCGGCGGTGGTGATGGTGGAAGAGTGTTTGTCGCCGCCTCCCGCTGCCGCGTGAAGGGTGGTGACGGATCTGTAGTTGGGGGCGGTGGTTTCCACCGACGATGTTGAAGCTGATGACTGGCGGTCGTCGTCGAGGACACAGTGGGTTGTCAATACCTTGAATCGTTTCGGTTTTTTTTTTTTTTTTGGACATGGAAATGCTAATTTGTATTTTTTGTATTAGTTATTTATTTTATTCTTGTTATGGATTGGTTGAATAGCCTGGTGTGGCGGCGGTGTGGTGACGACGGGGTGGCAGATTTAGGATTTTTTGGTGAATCGGGAGGAGGACACCGCGTGTAGAGAAATTCGCGCAATCTGGAATCTTAATCAACTATGTACATGTTCAATAGTCGATTAAGCTAATCGACTATGCTCTTGTAGTCGATTAAGGTTGATGAACTCCAGTTCTTTTTTTTTTTTGGATTTTTTGTTTATTGATTCCAATTGTATAAATAAATTATAATGGTGGTATATTATTTGTTTTTGTAAAATGTAGTTGATTTTGCATTCTTACTATTCGGAAAAATAGTATTCATTATATTAACTAAAATATTTTTTTCTAATAAAAAACAAAATTTCAAAAAAAAATAAAAGAAAAAAGTCAACGCCAAAAAAAAAGTTTTCCAAAAAAAAAAAAATTCAACGCCGGAATCGGGCCGGAAAAAAAAAATTCATAAAAAAAAATGATTTTCTGAAAGAAAAAAATATTTTTTTCAAATAATTATTAACATGGGGTTCATGTGATATATTTTTATAAATCCAGGGTCAGTGTGTAATATTAAGGAAGTATAGTATAATGGATGGAATTGATAAAAATTATATTATGGAGGGTATTTTAAATTAAAGACATGGGGATGTGTATATTAGAAAGGCTTTTTCTTTTGTGGATCAATGTACATTTAAATCCCTTATTATGGGTCTATTTGCAATTTGTCCAATTTTAATTAAAATACGAATAGGACATGTATTTATATTTTAAAAAATGGTTTGAAAAGTAACGAGGAATGATAGTGCAATTCTTAATTCTTTTGTACAGTTGTCATTCAATTAATAGGACTCCTATCTCTTGTTAACGGAGAGTCCGTTTATAATTCAATCTCCTTTTTTTATGAACTTTTGAATTGACAATTGCATGTCGGGCCGGGCCATATATATATATAACGAAAAGCTGCGTAGAAAGAAACAAAAAAATTAAACAGAAAAAAAAAAAAGAGACATGGCTACAGAATCAGAGAAAACAATACCATCAAATATTCCGCCAGAGATTATCGAAATTATACTATCAAAATTATCATCTGTTAAATCTCTTCTTCGATTCAAAACTGTTTCAAAGTCATGGAATACTATAATCTCCGATCCTTTATTCATTCAAAATCATCTCGATTGCTCGAATAACTCTCCGGATAATAATCTCTTCATAAGTTCGTATACATGTGGTTCGGATAGTAGAGGGTTTCCTATGGTTGATTTCGAAGTTAGAAAATCGGACGCCGGAAAAATATCCGAGGAGAATATTCCCAATGGCTACAACTCTATATTATGCGAATGTAACGGCGTTCTACTCTTGAGCAACCTCTTTGACGTCAAATACGGTCTGTGGAATCCATCAATTCGTTGTGAGATGTTTCTCATATACAAATATGAGTTTAAGGAAGATTATATAGTGGATTATGGGATTTGTTATGACCAAATAACAAGCGATTTCAAAGTTGTCTTTATTTTCCCAACGAAATATGCTATTTATTCGTGTAACAACAATTCTTGGACGAAGAAGAATTTAGGAACAAGTTACCATACTATTGGTGGTACTGCAGGTTCAGGTTTAGGTATATTCGTAGATGGAGCTACCTACTGGATTTTGAGAGACAACATGATTAGTATACACTTAGTGTATTTCGATCCAAGAACCGACGAGATCAAGAGGTTGCAAAAGCCCGAACAACGACAAAGTGATGATGACAAATTTCAGTTAATGAACATCGCTTCTTTGAGAGGAAGGCTATGTTTGTACTTCTACAACAAAAAAGAGAGAATTGCTCAAATCTGGATGAAGGAAAAGGGAATCGATAAATGGAAGGAGTTTATAACCTTTCACAATTTTGAGGCTCCGTATAAGTTGTCTAGACCAATATGTTTGGTCGAAAATAAAGTTGTGATTCAAAAAGAGGAAAACATATTTGTCTACTATAACACTAGTACTGATAAGAGTGTTAAAAAAGAGTTTGTACATATTTACGGGGATCGCCGTAAATTGGTTCCATATCGGAATAGTCTCTATTTCCCAACTGGCGTGGGAACGAAGAAAATTAAAGCTCAGCAGTCCAGGTTGTTATTTACGTGAGCTTTTTCTTGAATAGTATTTATTCATTTAGGCAAGATTTTATATGTCAGATTTAATTTTTTTTTTTTTGTTTTTTTTTTGAGAGAATTATATGTCAGAACCAGACATTGTTTATGTGCTTGGTTGATTGGCATTTTTCAATAATATATTAGTGAATGGGATTTTCTTGAAAATGTGCTAAGCTAGTCACTCTGGTTTTCTTGTAAGAGGATTCTTAAGAAATTAAAAAAACAGCAATTTTATGCTGTCTATGGGGTTTCTCCAATGTTGAATAATGCATATATAATTATATATGCTGTTTTTTTCCGTCTCCTCTACTTTAACCAACTAAAATACAACTTATAATGTGTTTGTTCGTCCACCTTGTCTTGCCTTATGTGTGCATACGCCTCACAAACAATGATCGGGGGATCCAGGATTTGAGTTAAGGGCGTTCAAAATTTAAGATAATAAAAATTAGGGCAAATAGCACCTCAGCCCCTCGAAAAATTATGTTTTAGCACTAAACATACAAACATAAAAAAGAGAAAGTCCCACTTGAACCATTGCACTTTACCCCAGTAGTAGAATTTTTGGGTTTTTGTTTATTGATTACGATTGTATAAATCAATTATAATGTTCTTATATTCTTTGTTTTTATAAAATATAGTTGATTTTGTATTTTTTTGCAGTTTTGATTTCATAGTCGATTAAAATACCTTATATAGAAAAAAGAAATTAAAAAAAAAAAGTTAAGAAAAAAACTTAAAAAAAATTAAAGAATTTCTCCAATCGACTATGCTTCATTGTCGATTTACCGTAGTTAAAATAATCGTTGATGACCGGCGCATGACGCGGTGATGATGTGGTGATGATGTGGCGGGCGGGGACAAAACTTGATAAGATAATAGCTGGAAATTAATGGATGTGGGCTTTTCTCAAATTGAGAGAGAAATATTTTGGGCCTCTCTTCATTAAAAGAAGTAATGAGGGAGTTCTGAGGGAGTTTCCTATCCGTAGTGCTGGCTCCGACAGTGAGAATCCACGGAGCCTCTTTCGACAGCGTCGCACTGGCGGGTCCTCTGTTCCCTGCGGAGATGCTCACCAAGATGCCGCACTCCGTCGCGGCGAACGCGCCGACGGCGATGTTGTCGTTGTGGAACAGCCTCGATGGCCCGACAAGCGAGATTGAGAGCACGTCCACGCTGTCCTCGATGGCGATGTCCATTGCCGGCAGTAAGTCGCTCTCCGAGCAGCCGGAGGAGGAGCAGACTTTGTAGGCGGCTATGTGGGCCCGGGGGACCTCCAACGAAATTGCCGGTGGCGGTGCCGGCCGTGTGGGTCCTGTGGCCATCGGAATCGAGGGGAGTCCTGTCGCCGATCCAGAAATGCCTTGCTCCGATGAGCTTGTTGTTGCACACACCGGTGAAGTTGAATTCACACGCCCCTTTCCATTTCGCAGGAAGGGGCGGGACCCCCTCCGTGGTGTTTGATTGGTTTCGTAAGCTAAAGTTGACGGCAAGAAAGAATTGTACCATGTATCTAAGTAATCCTGGGATTGATCAGATAAGATTTGGCTGTGTGGTAAATCAACATGGACAATGTATGTTTCTAAAGAGATGCCATTTGCAATTGCTGAAAATAAATGAAATATTAGGACACTGAAAATAGAGAGAACTCGCATTTAAGACATCATATATTTTATGCCTGAAAAAAATTCAGCTGTTTATATACAAAGGATTGCTATATGTTTTTTCTTTGTCTGACATTATATGGTAAATTTTGCTTTCTCACCTTCTACTTTGTTTCCATATCACATTACCCTTTCTACTCTCGATCGCATTGATTGTCCGCTGTACTTACAAAATTGTCTCAATGTGGTAATCGCCGTTAGTTTTATGACCTTTGACCTTAAATTGTTTGGTCTAAGTCTGAAAATTATAAAAAAGTCACCATTCCCAGTTTAAATAAAGAGAGCCAAAGTACAAGAGGTCTTCATCGGGGCATTTATGAGTTTGTCCAACCAATTCAGTTTTGCATTCATTTTCTTCCCCATAGTGCCCTACTTTGGAAGAAATATCTTCTTTCGATTGTAATGTACATTATAGGCAAATTTTCTCAAGCTTTCTAGATTAATTTAGAGTTAAAGAATGAAATAATGTTATATTTTGAATTTTTTTTACCCTCATTTGAAGATCTTATAGTAGTAGATAGTTAACTAATAAAAAACTTAACAGGTCCACGCTTTGAACAACAGTTGTCGTCCCTATACTTTGCTACTTATTCGATTTTCATCCATATCCGATGAAGTTTTTACAACTTACGGATGTTTTCAGCAATGAGCTTGGACAATGTATGGTAAAAATTTGGTGTGAAATGAGCCGGGGCAAGCACTACTAGCAAAAAGTGTATGGAGGTTAATGGAATATTATGATAGCCTTTTGGGTAAATTTGTAAAAGCTAGATATTTTATCCGAAATCTGATGTTCTGAGAGCCATGTTGGGTCCAGACAGACATCCCGTTAGGTAGTTTAATGCAAGACAACCAACGTATTTGGCATTACACTCGTAACAATATGTTTCCGTCCGTAGTGCTTACCACCTGGTGAATATTAAGAGAGAATGGAGGGCCAGACGGGCAATAGCACGAATGTTCTAAATAACGGAGATTGGAATTGGAATTGGAATTGGAATATAGATGAAAATCTAATTTCCGATTCTAATTTTCTAGAATAACGGATGCTATAGGTCCACGCTCTGGGCATCGAGTGATATCCCCCAGTCAATATATCAAAAGGTGGTAACTATATGCTTTAGTTTTACCAATTAAACACAAAATCTGCACGAGATCGTTATGCTTTAAATAATCAATTAAACCACGAATCAATGTATAACAAATCATGGCTTTTATATGCTTTAGTTTTATCACCAATGAAACAAAGACCAGACAATTATTTGTTATAATTTTTGTATATGCACAAATTTTATATGATCAACGAAAAATGTTTATTTAATAAAAATATATTTTCTAAAAACTAGGCATAAATAATATGTGAAATAGAAACAAGATGAAAACATCAAATATAATTAAAATAGAGAATTCGATGCGTTGAGATTCGATACCTATGTAAGATTGACTCCTAGTAACACACACACAAAAAAAAAAAAAAGGACAAAAGGAAAGAAAAAAAAAGGAACCAGACATAATATCTTGTCTACATGCATAAATACTTATGCTCAGGTAACATAAACCTACTCTGCTGAGCTTTAATTGTCGTCGTCCTGACAGCAGTTGGGAAATAGAGACTATTCCGATACGGAATGAATCTATTGCAGTTTACATCAATCTCTGCAAACTCTTCAAACGTCTTCTCAGTAGGGCTATAGTAGACAAATTTCTTACGCTCTACTTGAATTACAACCTTATTTCCCATGAAACATATTGGCGTAATCCACAAATACGGAACCCGGAAATTTCCAACCGTCATAAACTCTTTCCAGTGAGTACTATTCTCCCCGACATCAATGCCCTTTTCCTTTATCCAGATCTGGATACTGTTCTCATTGTAGTTATAGTGGTACAAACATAGGCTTCCTCCCAAAGAAGTCTTGTTAATTAAATGAAATTTGTCATCACTTAATTGTTCGGGCTTTTTCAAAATATTGAGCTCATCGGTTCTTGGGTCGAAATACACTAGTTGTGTACCTGAAATATTCTTGCTCTCGACTCCCAAAATCCAATAGGTAGCTCCGTCAACGAATATAGCCGCACCTGGAGTACCAAGAATGGTATAGAATTTTTTTCTTAAATACTTTTTGGTCCAAGAGTTGTTATTACACGAATAAATTGAATATTTCGTTTCGTAAACAAAGACAACCTTGAAATCGCCCGTTATTTTGTCATAACAAACCCCACAATCCAGTACATAATCTTCACTAAACTCGCATCGGTTTATGAGAAACACCTTAGAGCGAGTTGATGGATTCCACAGTGCGTATTTGCTACGACACCTGCCGTGGAGGTTGGTCAAGAGTAGCACGCCGTTACATTCGCATAATATACTGTCGTACCCATTGGGAATATTCTCTACGGGTTTTTCTCCGGAGTGGATATTTCCAACTTCGAATTTAACCAAAGGAAACCCTCTAACAGTACCATATGTACCCAAACATAGGAAGAGATTATTATCCGGAGAGTTATTCGAGGACTCGAGATGATTTTGAATGAATAAAGGATTGGAGATTAAAGTATTCCATGACTTTGAAACTGATTTGAATCGAAGAAGAGATTTCACAGATGATAATTTCGACAGGATAATTTCGATGATCTCCCACGGAATATTTGATGATGTTTCCTCTGATTCTATAGCCATGTCTGTTTTTTTTTTTTTTTTTTTCTCTGTTTTTTTTCAACCGGATTGGTTCTTTTTCTGGTTTGCGGAGCTTTTTGAGGGGAGAGTAATATAGCTAGGGTTTTATTCTTAACAAGTCTTTCTGTCTATTTTTATGGCCCAGCCCGACATGCAATCTGAAAAAAATACAGATTCTTGTCCCTTATACTAATACATGTTTTGCACTTTGCCCCCTAAATAATTTTTTTCACACGTGCTTAGCGAAGAGGTAAGGGGAAAAATCGTCAATTTCTTTAAAACACGGAGCAGCATAACTCTCTTGTTTGGGTATTGTCTTGCCCTATGTGACCCATGGTTCGCCGGAACATCCCGGTCCGCTATTGCGGACACCACTATTTCAGTTCCATTGTAGTGTCGCGGCTGCGTCGCGGCCAGAACAGACAAATTATAATAAAATTGCAAAAAAATATAATTAATGTCAAATAGGTTTTAATATTAATATTACAGTAGAATATATACAAATTATCATTAAAACACTATCTTAATTTTAGAACAATTCTTTAAACCTTGAGAAGTAGAAATACGAGGTGAAATTGTAATTTATAAAATTATATCTTTACTTTAAGAGAAATAAAAAACATTAAGCACTAGATTGCAAATGTTGAAAACTAGAAAAACTTTTAACCCTGATTTTGGTGTCCGTCAGACCACGACCAGGCCTCCGAGTCTTCTTTTTTTTTTTTTCTTTTTCTTTTTTCCTTTTTTTTATCAGATTTTTCTCCCGTTCCGGCAGTTCCAACCGCGACACGGCCTTCTGTGGTTCCGTCTCGCCCGTCCCACCGTTATCCCGGTGTTCCGGTGCGTCACAGTGCAAAAATCGGTTTGGTTAGGGATTCCGGAACGGAGGGAGCCGTTACCGTTTCGTTCCGACCGTTCCGGCACCATTCCGGCGAACCCTTATGTGACCCCTGCCGTGACATTTAAAACACTCAATATCACTACTCCGAGCATTGGCGGAACATACAATCTTTTAGGAATTTTGGCACTTATCTTTTTAATATTACTTTTGGCCCCCCTAAAGTTTTTGTAAATATATGTCTTAACCTTGATTTTTTTGTTTTTTCTCCATAAATTTATATAAATTATACACAATTACACATATATTATATATATCATATTTAATATAAAAATATAAAATAAAACGATTAAAATATTTTAAGAGAAAATTTAGGCTAAATTACAGTTTGCACCCCTGTACTGTGGAAAAGGTCGCATTCACCTCGCATTCACCCCATGTACCATCAAAATCTACATAAACCCCCCAACCGTTAGCACTGACTGCTGACTCCGTTGGTCAGACACGTTCACCGACCATTCCATAGAGCCTTTAGCTTTTTTCTGACGAAAACACCCCCAAAAATCACAAATGCTGCATACGTTGACCTTTTTTTTCCTCACCAAAATTTTCACCTTTTCAGCTCGTTTTTTCACTTTTTTTCCTCTTTCTTGTTTTTTCTCCTGTTTTCTTTTGTTTCTGAATTCTTCATTTTATTCAGCTTTATTTCCTTTTTTTGCCAGCTTCGTTTCTTTTTTTTTCATGCTAAAATGTCTTCTAATGTTCCAAATTTTTCAACAATTGTGTCTTAGATAATCCAAACATTATATGTCTTATTTTTTTGGAATCACGTGCCGATGTAAACGAAGTGCTTCAATTCGAACATCGTGACTACTTCGAAAAATCCAGGAAGAAAATTGTTGCATTAAAAAAAAAAGAATTCAATCAATAAAATCCCAGAAAAAAAAATTGAAAAATCCCTCATTTCGAACTACATAAGCCATAATTTAACGAATATTAAAAATTGTCAAAAAGTCTTAATTTCACGATCAGTAAAAATCGACAAAAAAAAAAAACCTATTTTTTATTCAAAATCATACCCTAAACCCTAAAAAAATTCATTGTACCCGCAAAAGTTCATGGCATAGTCGAGTAAAACCCTAACATCCAAAATCTTACCTTCTTCTACAGTAAGCGTCCTTCGAATGCACTCATACAGTAGTTCCTCCAACCAATTTTGAAAAAACTCAGAGAGAGAGGGAGATTTTTGTGAGAGCTTTTGCCTTATGAAAAATCGAAACGAGAGACAGAGAGTGAGTGCTTGTTGTTGTGAGAGAATGAAATGACTTGATAAATTTCGACACTCATCAGATGTAAATACGAGGGTAGAAGAGTAATTGCACAGTAAAAGTTTACAGTGTCAAATGTCTGACGCTTGCCTGTTAAAAGCATGGGGGTCTTTGTTGATTTTGATAGTAAGGGGGTTGAATGCAACCTTTTCCATAGTACATGGGTGCAAACTGTGATTTACCCTAAAACTTATGAATTTTACTTATTTTTTATTTTTTATCAACGACTATAAACAATAATATTGGACGATGCCATGAATTCCCAGAATATTGAGTACGATACATTATTATAAGAATAATTTAGATTTTTTGACATGTTTAAAATATGATAAAATTATAATATATATGCCATTTTAATTAAAAATTATGAATAAAAAATTATTTTTGCAATGTCTTGTGAACCTAAATTTTTTGCGGGCGGCTGCCCCAACCTTGAAATTTTAGTTAGCCCTCTACATTTTAACCTTGGTTCTGCCCCTGATTCCGAGTAGTATTAGAATCAGTTTTACGTTGGGTTGTTTAATTTGATGGGATGATGTATGTTGAGTTGAATGAATGGGAAAATTAAAATGACAGATGATGAGTTTAACAGCTCTGCTAATCATTCTTGTATATATATATATATATATATATATATAGACAAGTTTCACAAGAAAGATACATTTAACAGATCATGTGAGACGGGTTTCGCAACAAAAAAATGTATTTGTCGAAGCTGAAAATAAATAAATAACTCGTTCTCTAGTTTTATATATGAATATTGAAAATCAATTAAGTGTTGATTTGGTCGTTTCTATAACAATTTTATCGGGCAATGTTGATTTCTATGAAAATAAATTCTTGCAAAGCAGAGCTGAATATTTGGCTTCAAATTAAGGGTCACTACAGTAGCACCAAGATTCACAGAAGAAAGAAAAAGAAATAAATCCTGTTAGTGAATTTATTTTTTTATTCTTTATAGTCAGGGGCGGAACCAGGATTAGAAAGTAGGGGGGGCTAACTAAAATTTCGGGGTTCGGGCTAGAAAAAATAGGTTTATACTGCGAAAAAAATTACGACACATATCTATAATATAATATATATCTATAATTTATATAAAATTATGGAGAATAAACAAAAAAGTAAGGGTTAAGAAACATATTTACAAAATCTTTGGGGGGTCAAAAGTAATATTCAAAAAATATTAGGTAAAAACAGCTAAAAATTTTTATTTTTTTTTCTTGGAAAGGCAACCCCCCCCCCCCCCCCCCCCCCCCCCCCGAAGCTCCGCCAGTGTTTATAGTGTCATATAATAGACGTAAGTTGATGATAGAATTGTCCCATAAGTGCATCTCCGACCGGACAGCATAACACCATTTTTTCATCTAGTTTAGGTGTTTTTAGCCTTCCACCCGAAATTCCTATATCACCATTACACCTAAAATTATAGAGATTTGGTTTTCGCCTTTCACCGTGGTCAACCCCATATCACCAAATACTCAAATCCTATTTTTCCACCAATTTTTTTGGTGAAGGAATTTCCATCTCCCACCGGTCCACCATTTTCCTATTTTTTCCACCAAATCCTATTTTTCCTACCAATTATAGAGGTGAAAATAGGATTTGGCGTAATTAACACCATTTTATTAAGTACCATATAAAATGACAATTTGAACTAATTGCACCCGATTACCAACTTATTAGCATATTTATCGTAAATACATTGCTATTAATTATTAAATAAGTTTTTAAATTATAAATACATTTGTTATTATTAACAAAACATTAATTCTAATAATATTAAATATGCTTATTTTTAATTAATTTGTATATTTTGTTGGTATCAATGTTTCTTAGTTCATTTCTTTACTTAACTAATACGCTAATTGTTATTAATAAAATATAATAAGCAACAATAGAATGATTAACGAAACACACTTTAATTGGTGAAATACATGACAGAGACATTTAAATTGAAATACATAACTCATAAAATAACAAACAACATAACATGATAACAAATCATGATAAACAATAACACATATTATAAAAATTTAAATCATCATGAACTGCTTATTTAAATTCTCACGCCGTACTTAATATATGAATTATGCAATAATTTATGACATTATTGTTTATGTATGATTTTATTATATTTAAAGTAATTTGAGTTCATGTTATTTCATGTTTAGACAGTTTTTTAAAATTGATAACATAAGTTTTAAATTATATAGTTAAGAAAATTTATTACTTAGCATTAGATCTATAATTAATATATAGAAAATAAATATTATAAAATCACGATTAACATTAGATTTATAGTTTTGGGGCATATATGGTGAAATGCCATGGGAGACCAATCCAAATCCCATTTCCTATAAGTGGTGAAATGGTGAAATATTATTATTTTAATATTTGGTCTAAATTTTGGTGAAACCCATTGGAGACCAAAAACATCATTTTTCCACCAAAAATGGTGGAATAGTAAAATAGTGTGCTACCGATGGGAGATGAACCCATTTTTTCACCACCATAAATGGGATTTGGTGAAAAAATGGTGAGACCGGTCGGAGATGCTCTAATGCAACTAAAAATTACGGTGATCCCGTGATATTGTCTTTATGCAATTCAATACTCATCCAAGCTAAGTATACTAAATGGTACGGGTCGGGATTTTTTTTTTAAATTGACTTGATTTTTTTAATTAACTAGAAAGGTGCGCGTGCGTTGCACGTGTTTTATTAAATTTCCAATTAATTTCTTAATCTTTATTGTATTTTGGTATATTTTTATCGAAATAATATTATATATGCGGGAAAATTACATTTTTCGTCCTCATACATTACTCACTTTTTCAAAACTGTCCCTAAACATTTTGGAGTTACAATAGTAGTCCTTAATCATGCCATTTTTTGACAGAATTGGTCCGCCGTTAATTTTTGCCGTTAAGTTGGATAGAAAATGGCATTTGCCTCTCACATGCCTTCAATTTACAACACTACATGAAAATGGACTTTCAACAAAACGCATTGCGTCTTGTTAAAACATATTTTTATAATTATTATTTTTAATTAATTTATATAAAAACGAAATCACGTGAATTCCAAAAAAATCAACTCATTTCGAAAATATTGTTTAAAAAATCAAAATATAGTTTAAAATTTTAAAATATTGTTCCAAAATCGGCATTTTTGGAATTCAATTAAAATATATCGTTTCTAACCAAAATAAAAAAAAACCCCCTTGTGTTATGAAAAACTTGCACGAAACCCCCTAAATAGTTAACGGCGTTAATTGTTAACGGAATGGGGGATTTCATGCAAGGTAAAATAAAACACAGAGGGATTCTACGCAATAAAGTTAACATAGGGAGGTTTGGTGCATGTTCTCCAAAACACAGGGGGGTTTATGCAGTTTACCCGAATTACCACAGACCAAATCCAAGTAACAGTAACAGATATGCGGCGGCAGCCGAAAACCCCAGCCGCATCTTTTTCCCAACAGCAAGATTACCAACCATCCACCTCAGCTCATTCCTCGTCCCCAAAACGACGCCTCCGATCCCCAACAAGCCTTTCATCCTCTGGAGGTGGTGCAGCAGTAATTGGCCGGTCAATCGGTTTTGGAACCTCGCTTGGTTGGATGGAGAATCGGAGAGAGAACTGTGATAGGTGACCTTTGGGGAGATGGTTGGACGGGAGAAGAAATGATAGAATTGAATGGTGCAAATTTTTTGAAAAACTTTTAAGGGCAAATAAGTAAATGCACAAATAAACTAACGGTGTTAGTTTTTCAAATGTTGACTAGAAACGACAGGGGGCATTTTGTTATCTTTTGAAGTTTAAGGGGATGTTCGGGATGGACCCCATAGTTCAGGGGTGCAAACTGTACTTTGCCCTTAATATAATAATGAAATATATAATCATATATATCTACTATATGTAATAATTATTTTTTTTAAATATTCTGAAGAGAAAGTAAAATGTGTCCAAAACTCTTCTCTACTCCATTAAAAAAACATTTCAAATCTCGAAAAATAGATAACAATATAAAGAATTTCCTAATGAATTCAACAATCCTATTAAATATAAAAGTACAACTCACTCTTTGCATGTTTTATATACCAATTGACATTGATCTTTTCGAACCATTAAAATGCTCCAAGAGATTGTATATGAAAACCTAAATTTAACTAATTAATGACATCATTAATCTATAAACGAAAAAAGGAAGTTGGAAAAACTACAATGATGAGTTAGGTTCTGTTTGGCTATGCTTATTTTAAACAACTGATAAGTTCTTACGTCTGATAAGATGTTTTCAGAGTTGATAAGTTGTTACATCTTATTTTTTGAATTAAGGTGTTTGAATAATGAGTTTTTTTGTTATTTTTATTCATTATGAGATCTTAAATAAGAAGGTGGGGTAGGTACGTATTAAAAAAAAATCTTATTTGCTCTCCAACAACTTATTTTTTTTAAAATAAGATATTTTTTAAAAAAAATATCAAACACTTTGGAAGAGCTTATAAGTGGTTCAACATCTTATATAAGCTTAGCGAAATACCCTCTTAGACGGTGTTTGGCGAAGCTTATTTTTAACAGCTGATAAGCTCTTACGTCAGAGAAGATGTTTTAAGAACTGATAAGTTGTTACATCTTATTTTTAGAATTAAGTTTTAGAATGTTTGGATAATGAGCTTATTTTCTATTTTTACTCGTTATAAGATCTTAAATAAAAAGATTGGGTAGAAGTATTTTTTTTTAAGATCTTATTTACTCTCAACAGTTTATTTAAAAAAATTAAGATCTTATTTAAAAAAAAAATTACAAAACACTTTGGAAGAGCTTATAATCTCTAAAACATCTTATAAGCTCTTTTTAACATCTTATAAGCTTAGCCAAACACCCTCTTAGTTTTTACAAGACAAAACTTACCTTCTTGTGAAATTCTTGATCCAATTAATTGATTATGGGGAAAATTACAGTTTATGTCCCTAAACTTTACCGCTAAAACGATTTATGTCCTCAAACATTTTAATCCACGAAATATGTCCTCAAACTTGCCACTTTTGATCACTTCATGTTCTGCCGTTAACGTCGGCAGCTAACTTCGACGGAAATAGCACGCGCGGCTCACGTGACGTCTATGTGGCCGTTAAATGTCGAGTTGTACAACACCCAGTGCCTACTTGGTCGACGAAACATGATGTGGAGCGACACGTCATTCTCCTCCCCTATTTCTATTCTAAAATCCCTAATTCTCCATATCCACAATGAACCCGTAAATCCAATCCCTAAAACCCCATTTTAGGTAAAATTCGAAAATAGCAGAATTGTCTGTGAATCCATGGCCATTTTTTGTGGTGTTTTACCAGCAAAATAGCCCAATAAACAAATGCCGAATGTTTCCTCGTTTTCACTTTCATCTTCGGGCTGAAATATCATGTCTTCTTCCACTTCGTTGGGGAAGTCGGGGAGCTGGAATCCGTTCTTGGGCACTCTATTCTTGGCGAAAAAAGAATTATATGCAGCTTTGACAGGTACCCGTTGAACTCAATAATTATTACAGACCGAATAATTGATTAAATACAGAATAATAAATCCTATGGGAAAAGGGATTAGGGAGTACAAAGCAATTCTAAATATTCAATATTAATAAATTACAAATTATAGAAATTAAAAATGCTAACCCGACAGATCCGTAAACAGATCTGTGTAGGAGACTTAGATCCGGCTCAGTCCTCTCTTTCCGATCGTCCACGTCCAAGACTCGTCTGGCTGCCTCCAAACACTCACCAGAATCAAGCCAACTGTTCCCAAAAGCCTCTACCTCCAACCCTAAGTCACACAGATCCCAATTCCCAACACGAAACCAAGTACTGCCAAGAAAAGCAACAGCACACAATAATCAAATGTCCGTTTTTTCAGTCACTCACACAGAACTCTCCCAACCCAGATCACACAGCAAGAGAAAGGAAAAAGAAACGGACAATTTTTGGAAAAAACGGACTTATGTGCCTCAGGGAAAAATAGTTTCGTACCTTTTTGAAAACACGAAGAAGGTTTTAATAATCTCAGCCATAACCGAAACTCAGAAGAAAACGGAGAGGGAATAGCCGAAGATTTCGGCGAGAAAATCTCACCAGAACCGAGAGGAGAGGAAGTAGCGGCTGGTGTGATTAGGTTTAGGGCTGGAGAGAGAAGAGAGTAAGAACATATTTATATTCCAAACCAACGGTCAGGATCTCTCAATAGGATTCAATGGACGAGATTAAATCCTAGAGCCCACAGACTTGGGCTTTAAACTCGTGGGCTGATTCCTTTGGTGAGTGGGCTGCAAGGTGAGTGGATTTGGGCCCAGAGTTATAAACTCATTTGGGCCTATATTTCCAATAAGAATAAATCAAAAATTAGTAATTTTATCCGTAATTAAAATCGGATTAAAAATTCTACATATGCTTCGAATTCCAATCAAAAGAATATCCCGAAAAATTGGAAATAGGAAGATTCGGAAATCGGAATGATAAAAAAAAAAAAAAAAAAAAAAAAGTGCTCGAAAATAAATAATAAAACATTCGGATCAAAATATGTTCCGACTTTCACCCCTACGCTTGGTAGATTCTCCGGGGAGGATGCGATAATTTGGCACCACGAAAAAAAAAGTTATTATAATTGGTTTAGAGGAGACGAAAATAGCATCATTTGCATCATTCAACCAATAGAGAGCATACAATGAAAAATCCTAATACGAATATTCAAGAAAATCATGACATTCACTAACTAATCAGATTATTGAAAATGTCAATCAACTCCAAGTAACAAAAAAAAAAAAAAAAACACAGTGTCTGCATCCATCTAACATTTAATATCAAATTACCTAAATGCATAAATACTTCTCTAAGAAAAAGCTCAAGTAAATATTAACCTGGACTGCTAATGCTAAGCTTTAATCGTCGCCGGGGAATAGAGACTATTCCGATATGGAATGACTCTACCGCAAGATACATCAATCTCTAAAATCTCTTCGACCGTCTTCTCATTAGGGCTATAAAATGCAAATGTGTTATTCCTTATTTGAACGACAATCTTATTTTCCACGAAAAATATTGGTCTAGACCAAAAATACGGAGGGTTAAAATTCTCAACGGTTATAAACTCCTTCCAGCAATTAGTACTATTCTCCCCCGAATCGATGCCCTTTTCCTTTATCCACATTTGAACACTTTTCGTTACTCTATTGTAACAGTACAAACATAGGCGTCCGCTCAAACAACCCATGTTAACTAGAAGATACTTGTCGTGATTATTCACTTTTTCGGGCCTTTGCAACACCTTGAGCTCGTCGGTTCTTGGATCGAAATACACTAATTGTCTACCTGACCGATTCGTGTTGTCGCCCAAAATCCAGTAGGTGGCTCCATCGAAGAATATACCCGAACCCTTACCGCCCATGGTATGGTATTTTCTACCGGGCTTCTTCGTCCAGGAATTGTTGTTACACGAATAAATTGCATATTTAGTTAGGAAAATAAAGATAACCTTGAAATCGCTCGTTATTTGGTCGTAACAAATCCCGTAATCCACTATATAACCTTCGTTCAAGTCGCATTGGTTTATGAGGAACATCTCGCGACGACTTGATGGATTCCACAGCACGTATCTATCGTACTTGCACTCGTCGGGGAGGTAGAGGTTGGTCAAGAGTAGCACGCCGTTACATTCGCACAATATTCTGTTGTAGCCGTTGGGAATATTCTCCACCAGTACTTCTCCGGCGCAGACTTTTCCACCTTCTTCGAATTTAACCAAAGGAAACCCCGGATGTTCATTATTATGTATGTACGAACTCATGAATAGATTATTATTCGGAGAGTTGTTCGAGGATTGGAGATGATTTTGAATGAATAAAGGATCGGAGATTATTGTATTCCATGACTTTGAAACTGATTTGAATCGAAGAAGAGATTTAATTGATGGTAATTTTAACAGGATGATTTCGATGATCTCCCGAGGAATATTTGTTTATGATGATGATTTCTTCACAGATTTTGTTGCCATGTTTTTTTTTTCTCTTTTCTTTCGTTTACTATGCAGAGCGGATGAGTGATATATGTGGCTAGGGTTTTGTTCTGTAAAAGTCTTTCGAATTTTATTTTTTAACGCAATTTTTTAAGGTAACCTTTTCTCCTCAGATTGAGGGGTTATTTATACTTAATTAATAGAAGACTTCTAATTGGACCAATAATCTAGTTTCTCTTCAATTAGGACTCTAATTTAGTATTTTATTAACACGAGCATAAGTATTGGGCCTCTTTAGGCCCAGCTAGGAGAATGGGGTTGATTTCTTTATATGGCAGGCTTTGGGCCCTCGTATTTTGGTCCACATGGTTCTATAATCTGAATGACCCAATGTGGCCCATTTATGTGTATTATATATATGGGGTTATTTTACATATCCCTAGCCACCAAATAAACTAGGGATAAACCCAAGCCCAAATCATCATTTGACATACCCCTAGAGAAGCGAAAGTACTATACTACCCTTACATGCAATTTTCGGTCAAACTGCATTCAGCATTTATGGTCCTGCATTTATCATTTTCGCTGATTTATTTATTATTATTGCTTTGTTTTATTTTTTATAAACCTGTTTTTTGTATTTTCGCCGGTAGGAGGTTTGTGAAGGCGGGATTTTGAATTTGGGAGAAGAACAGAGAGACCATGAATGGCTAGGGTTTAAAACTGAGTTTAGAAGGGTATTATAGGAACTTCAGGGTGACCCAGGGGGGTATGTCAAAATATTTTCGAAATAAGGGGGGTTTCCCCTAGAGTGTAATCCACTTGGTAGTTAGTTCTATATAATTTAGAAATTAGGGGGTCTACACAATATATATATATATATATATATATATATATATATATATATATATATATATATATATATATATATATGAGTGATACCCCTCGTTTTGAAAATATATATGATGAGGAGGTTCAATAGATTTTTCCGCCGGTCACTGATCCCACCAAATTTTGATTTTAATTTGAGAGACCCCTAACAACTTGAACCACCTATTTTGCTCTTATAGTTTTAATTCAATATATGCTCAAACCCTAAAATTTAATCGATCGTTCTCTTGTTCTTTTTCTCTCATTCTCTTTCATATCTCTTTCTCTCGTTCTCTTCCATATCTCTGTACCCACGCCACCATCGCCCACCGCCACTCCCCCTTGCTTTGCGCCGCTTCCGTCTGCCTTGTACCGCTCTCCCTGCCGGCGACATCACCGTCCACCTCCACGCCCCCCTTTGTCAGATCTTCTCTGATAAACTCTATTTCGGCAAATCTGACGCCGACGAAGAAGAAGAAGATAACATTCAGATCGAGGGAGATAAACGAACCTGTCGATGGTAGGTAAATCGAAAGAAGCTAAGGCAACACAATGCTTCTTCATCTTTAAATTTCTTCTTTTGCAAAATATTGTATTATAATTTGCTTGTGAATTGTGATGGTAAGTAAATGGTTTATATATATATATATATATATATATATATATATATATATATATATATATATATATATGTGTGTGTGTGTATGTGTGTGTGAAAAAGAGTTATTATTTATAAGTAATTACTCTACTTTGTAGTGTACTGAGGAACAAGAGTCAATTTTATTAATTAGGGTGATATGCTTTTATTGACCTGCCAACGAAATGTTGTTCTTGATTCATGAAAATATTGGTCTTGATTGTTTAATTCTTGTAACCTGGTAGTATGACTTGGTTGAAATTTTAATTGTTTTTAATTCATGTTATATTGTAATGTATGCAGATGATTACTATGAGATATGGTGCAATCCTAATATATAGGTATAAAGACAAGTGGGCTAAATGACAGATTGAA